GTATATTTAATTTAATTGCTTTTATTAGTTTATAAATTTTTTTCCCTTTTAAATAGCTAGCTAGTTAAGATTGCTTTTTTAACTAAAATTTTGTATCTAAAAGTTATATTGGATTCTAATTAATTTAAAATTAGATTAGACTTATAAAAAAAGAAACTCTCATATGATATATTTTTTTATTCACAAAATTTAAACTCAAAACTTTATTTAAAAAAAATTAAATTTATTTCATTCATATTAATAAATCATTAATAGTTAGGATATTTAGAACCGTCAACTTATAAACCAATTTTAAACTATTAAATAATAAATATTACTCTATCGGTTGATTTTTAGTAGATTTAGTTTTTCTAATAAAATAAAAATATAATAATTTATTAATAAATTTTCATATTCATTCTTAATTAAGTACTACTTAAATACTCTATTGGCTGATTTTTAGTAGATTTGGTTTTTTTAATAAAATAAAGATATAATAATTTATTGATAAATTTTCATATTCATTCTTAATTAAGTACTACTTAAATAAGATTTCTTATTTAATATATTTTATAATAATTTTTAAAATAAAAGTAAAATAAGAATAAATACATTAAATAACATTTTAAAAAAACTAAATTTATTAAAATTAAAAAATAAAATAATTATTAAACTATTTCTACCTATCAAACCCAAATGACTTTTCCTTTTTCTTTATTTTCCTCCAATGTCCAATCCTCGCATTCCGCTTTATTAGTGGAAAAAATACTATGGCACATACCTTGTCTGATCACAATCACCCCTTTTTGGATTGAAGCTATTAGATGTCCTATTCTTTTGATTTTTGTTCATTGACATCCTTGAACTTCAAGATCATTCATTATAGTCTATCGACTGGCATAAATAATTTGTTAGAATCCCTTTACAGCCATGTACGTGGTAAAAGAAAAGAATCCCCTTACAGCATACCACACAAAACTGCTTGTTGGGGTCCTTAATGTAAAGATATTATTGTCATGTTACTAATAATATCAATCTTCGGATAATTGTGAATAATTTTTTAAATTTAAAATTTATATTTTGTTAATAGTTTGAAATTTGAGATTCGTAAGTACCTCACTCAACTTTGAGTGTAGTTCATCAACTCTGTTCAAATTTGATATATATTAGCTTCATCAACTTTAAATGGCTTAAAATTTTCTTAGAAATTAAAGTTGAAGGACTTGGGAATAGTTTTTAGGTTTTTAATTTAGAAGTAGTATAGGGAAGGGGTAGAACCCATGGCACATAATGGTTATGATAATTTTCTTATTTTCTATCAATGAAGAGAAAGCATCAATGTTGACAAAGTGCATTACAAAGGAAAAAAATTTTAAGCATGGAGCATGTTAATTCATTAGACAAAATAGTTCTTAATTACATGTGACATGTTGCATAACAAAAGACATTCATATACCAAGGAGTTAAGCCTAAAACCTTTCAAATGGAAGTCGTCAAGAGTTAAATGTGGGAAATTGATGTTGTTAGTTTTATACAAGTGGACAATCATGAATGAATGATCTCAAAGTACAAGGATGTCAATGAATGAATATACAAAGTACAGGACGTACATCTTACCTTTATCTGCTTCTTAACACAACTTTAACGTATTCTTTTGATGAGTCGCAATCGAATCGTATTACCACCTAAGATTGTGACTGGTCTTTCATTTATAAGATAAGGCCATGTGATGGCTATGGCAATGACCACGTGGAGAACTCCTTTTAGTTGGATTTTGTTATTTTATTTTAATTTTTCTATAAAATTTAATTAGATAATTTCATATAATAAATAGTAAATAATAATTTAAATTTTTTTATATACATAATATATATTAAATATTTTAAAAAGTGTATAT